ACCCCCGCAAGACGCTGGCCCAGGGAGAGCCGGCACGGCCATGACCCAGGAGATGCTGCCCGGCACATGCTGCAGTTGCCTGCCAGCCAAACGCAGGGACGGCCGTGCTCCCACCGGGAGCAAAGAGCAAGCTCAGGGGCTGGGCTCCGGCTGCGCCACGGCCACGGGTTTCGCCGCCGCCCATCACCCCCAAGCTCTGCCCCAAAAAGCCACCCCCTGCTCTGAGCCCATGGCCGGGTCAGAAGCCGCTCCCTGGCTCGGGGAGCTGCAGCCCGTCCGGCACGAGGGATGCCAGCAGGGAACACAAGCAGAGCCCCCCCGCTGCCCACGCCTGCAAAGGGGAGAGCGAAACCCAGCGCGCCCGGGGACCCCAGGGGGAGATGCCAGCCCTCCTCCCCCCCAGCCAGTCGACCCCAGCGCATAGGGAAGGGCGGGGACTGGGGGCACTGGGCAGAGCGCGCATCTCACAGTGAGAACTGTTAATGGAAAAGGGAAAAATAAAAAAGTAAGAAGTACCAGGTGTTTTATTATCTAGGGCAAGATCCGAACCCAGGAGCGCAGCCCGAGGAGGGGTTAGGGTGCCTGAGAGGGGCCGGTTACCTCCAGTGCTGCAGAAGGCTTCTTTTTGAGTTCTTCACATTTTCGGAATTTGCAAATCTGGTGGCCAGTTTTGCGATTCCTACAACTGCTGCACTGCTCGCAGTTTATCCGTCTTCGGCAGGGCGGGCACATGCCGCATCTTTTCCGTTTCTTTTTCCCCGAATTGATGGCAGATGCCAACTCATTCTGCATGGGATACTCTGCCAAGCCGGCCATATGGAGCGCGCTCTCTGCCAGAAACACGCCGGCAGGGGTCATAATGAAAAGGCCTGGGTTGATGGGAAAAGCCCCCAGGTAAGGAAAATCGGAGGGGCCGTTCATTGTCTCTGCAGCGGAGACGGCCTCCATGTCGGAGATACCAGTCCCGTGGTCGCTTGCTAGAGGCAGATGCTCCTGTACCACTCTTTTGAGCATTTCTGTCGACTGAGCAAACTGTTGGAGGGCGGTCTGTCCTTCTGAGGAGATCTCCGACACCCGGTCTAATTTGCTCAGCATACTAGAGATGCTTTTGTGCTTTGAGGTAGAATGACTTTTATCCACAGTCGCTTCGCTGCCGTTAGCTAAGGGGTTGCCCTTCTCTGAATGTTCGCTTACCGAGCTGCTGCTACCAAAGGTGGAATAGTGGGAGAGTGGACGGGACTTCTTAAGACTTTTGTTCAAAGGTTCACTTATTATTCCACTTTTGTTCCTCCTCTCGGAGTTGACGGGGGGTTGAGAGTCATCTTGGTTATTTTTTTCCGTCTCTGGCTTGTTCCCAGTGTCTTGATGGGAGCCTGAATTTGACATGGTGCCCGGAGCACAACAGCAAAACCAAACCCAAAATAAAAAAAAAAAAAAAAAAAAAAAAAACCAAAAACCAAAAAAAAAAAACCAAACCCAAAACCCCCAAAAACCCCCCCCCAACGCCAAAGCGAAAGACCCCCAAAGCCCTTCTGGTAGCACCAGCCCGCCGGCCGCCGGGAAAGCTCAGACGGGAACGCTCATCAACGGGGCGTCTCCTCCGGCGCCGGGTGCCGAGGGCTTCAGTCCGATCTCAGGGCAAGGACATACCCTGCGGCTCTGGGACACACCATGCGGCTCTGCAAGGAGAAGAGAAAAGGGAGTTAGCGCTGGCAAGAGCCAACGGGCTTTTCAAAGCGGCTCTTCCTCCCCCTGCCATGAAAGTCTCAGCGCCGCGAACAAAGAAACTCCAGGGACCGGACCTCGCTGGAGATCCGTTCCGCTGCTCTTTAAAAGGGGTCGCCATCCAGGCAGAGACGGGGCGTCCCGGGGAAGTCCTGGCCTGGCCGCAATGGCACGCCGATGCTTAAAGGCTCTCTGTGCCCAGTTGCCCCCCCGGGGGCTGCAGCCCAGGGAAGTCACGGGGCTCATCCCCCGCTGTGCTCCAGCAGCGTGCGGCCCCCGTGCCGGCTGGGACCGCGGGCGCCCCCGGGGATGCCCTGAGCTGGCATCTGGGGCTCATGCGAGGTGTCCCCACCCTGTGGCACCCATGCGGCTGGGTGCCACAGAGGCAGCAGTGGCAGGGCTGCGCCCCAGCTCCCATCGCCCCCTGGATGATGCTGCTCACCCAGCACAGGCTAAACTGTGCCCCTCACCCCCCT